CTCAGACCCAACCAAGTAAACGCAGAGACTTATATTGCTTACAAACTGTATGGCCATGGCAGGCTTCTTGCTAACTGTTCTTATAGCTTAAATTAATCCATTTCCACAAATCTATACCCTGCCACGTGGCTCGTGGCTTACCGGCATCTTCACATGCTGCTTGTCATGGCGGTGGCTGGCAGTGTCTCCCTCCGCCTTCCTGTTCTTTCTTTTCTCTTCTCTGTTAGTCCTGCCTGTACTTCCTGCCTAGCCACTGGCCAATCAGTGTTTTATTTATTGACCAATCAGAGTAATTTGACATACAGACCATCCCACAGCAGAAATGGCATCTATAGGATTTGTAACATTTATAAACAGACAAAAAAAAAAAAAAACCTCTATTGTTACAATTTTCGTGACTTTGATTTGTTTGACTGAAAAATTGCTGCTGTTCTCTGACCTAACTGTAATGGAGTGTGTTGTTCAATCCTAACCTGCCGACCTTAGGCTGGATGCCGATTCACTGTGATGATGAGAATCCAGTACAGCCTGAGGGCATTGATGGATGTATGCATGCCATGCCAAGTATGCATGACAGTTCAAATGTTTGACGTGATCACACTGAAAGCTCTCCAGTTTCAAAGTGGGATAAAATATTGTATTACCAAAGAAAGGAAGGTAGTTGGGGTGCAGCTCAGTGGTAGGTTTGTATAACGAGGCCCTAGGTTGTACCCCAGTGCCATAATAATAATAATAACACCAATAATAATAATAACAATGAAAGTTAGTAGCAAAGACTCTAGGAAATGTTTTTTTTGCAAGAAAATACTAGTGATAATTTTAATTCATGATGATTCTAAAAAATTATTTGTCTGTTTTCTGTAAATTCCTTTTGAGCCACCAATCACCTCTTGCCTAAAAATCTCCTTAGGACAGAATGATTTATTAGGAGAAATTGTATCCTTTGATAAGACTTCCAAAATGGATTCCACTATTTGCATGCAAGAAACCCTAAGAGAACTTTCATCAGGAGAATCATTACTTTTTTAAAAGAGTCCTTATATATCTTGTTGTATGTGTACATATCAAAAGGTCAAGATATCAAGTTAAATCTCCTTTGATTATTGCTAAATTATTAAAAAGTCAATTTGGTTCAAACAAATTTTATTGTTATTATTACAATTTCCTCCTAATTAAAAAGTAGTCAAGCATTAGGCAAATGTCTTTTTTGTTGTTGTTGTTTGGTTGGTTTGGTTTTTTAAAGACTGGATCTTACTGTTAAGCCCAGGTTGGTATCAAACTTATGGTCCCCCCTGCCACAGCCTCTTAAGTACTGATATTACAGTTATGAGCCACACACACATCTAGAAAATTATCTTGAACTGACTCAAGTATAGTTGACATTTCCTATAATTCTATAATTGTTACCGCTTCATACTATAAGAGTCATTTTGGATCTCTCCAGGTCATTGCCAAGAGTGAAATCACGTGACTAGAGTGGAAGGCTCCTGCCACACTTTCAGAGCTCCTGGGAGCTATGGGAGCCTTTACACCGGGATCCTGGCAGGGAAGGGTCCACTTGATTGCATCTGCTGACAGTCTGAGGTCTTACCTGGCAGAAAGATGCACCAGAGAGTGTAGGAGAGCCCAGAGTAAGCCTGTGAGATCTAATCTCGGGCATTTTAACTCCTGTGAGAACAACAAGAAAATCTCCCTCAACAGATCTTGGCCTATTTTAGGTTTTTCTAGTAAGTTGATCAGACAAATGTACATTTGTCAATTGTCTTTCAGGACACACAAGTCTGAATTGAGTTCATTATGTATAGACAATGCTGCTTCTCTCCCTATAGGGTCCACTATTTCCTGGGACTCTGGACATTGTCTCTGTTAGATGACCACCACAGCTGGTGGTGCACTAAGGCATTCACATGTTCCATGCTAATGTTTTGGAGGAACCGTGAGTATTCTAGCAGGATGGTAATCTGAAAGGCCTTTTGGCATCCTTTAAATGCCAGCTGAGGGCCCTGCTTCTTGGATTGGGACACTTTCAGAAGTCAGAAGAACGGGTAATGGCCTTTAATTATGTGGTAAACCAGCCACAGGAAACATTAGTTACTTATTGCACAATTCATCCTCCCTCGTTTCCATCCCTTCTCATATTCCACCCACATGGAAAAGCGCCTCTAAGAATGAAAACACTGGCAGATGTATTTAACTGCTCTGTATAACAAGGTTTCTCTTTGTTCACAGATACACACCTACTTATTAGTAGACAAGTGATACACTGAAAAAAAATCTAAGTGTGTTAACCAATCCTTGTCCTTACCACAAATACCGCTGTCTTTTCCTTACAGATAGAAAGCACGTGACTCATTGGCAGTGGTCATATAATGGGATCTGTTTTCCATTCACGGCAGTGCATTTTCACAATCGTAAAAGCCACACTTGTTTGCTTCGCTTCTGGTTGACTCCCTGAGCAATGTGACAGGCCATGGCAGGAGAGAGGAAACTGAGTGCCACCTGGAGTCCCCAGTATTGTCCAGGTTTGTTCTTGTTTCCGGGGTGATGCCAACTGGTAAAATGGCAGGTACATGCCTAAGGCTTTAGGAAAACCTCATGTGATCATTTACAAGGAAATGATTAGAACCACCCACAGCTGATCAGGCTGGGTGCACAAATCATGTCCCTCACTAACAGCACCAGATAACCCTCACCATCTTCTCCCACTCTCCCTCATCTCATCTTATCTTGTCTCCTTTTCTTCCTTCTATCTCATCCCATCCCATCCTGTCCCTAATCTATCATCTTTTTGTTTGTTTGTTTGCTTTGGTTTTTCGAGACAGGGATTTTTTGTGTAGCCCTGGCTGTCCTGTGTGGTGATACTTTGTCTACGCTCTAACAAATAAAGCTTGCCTGAAGATCAGAGGGCAAAGCCAGCCACTAGTTAGCCATAGAGGCCAGGCAGTGGTGGCATACACCTTTAATCCCAGAACCCGGGAGGCAGAGGCAGACAGATCTCTCTGTGAGTTCAAGGCCTCACAAGATTGATCCAGTCTAAAAGAGAAACAGAGCCAGGCAGTGGTGGCACACACCTTTGATCCCAGCACTTGGGATCTCATGCCTTTAATCCCAGCACTAGGGAGGTAGAGACAGGAAGTGATATGGCTGGGCTGAGAGAGGAATATAAGGTGGGAGGAGAGAGGAGCTCAGGTCTCCCTTTCAGGCTCAGGATACGGGAGAGGTAAGAACTCTAGGGGCTGGCTGCTCTGCTTCTCTGATCTTTCAGCCTTTACCCTGATAATCTGGCTTGGAGTTTTTATTAAGACCAGTTAGAATTTGTGAAACAGTGCTGGAACTCGCTTTGTAGACCAGGTTGGCCTCGAACTCAGAGTTCTGCTTGCCTCTGCCTCCCATCAAAGGTGTGTGCCACCATTGTCTGGCTAATCTTTTTTTTTTCTTTTAAATGTGTGTATGTGTTTGTATGTGTGCATGAGGACTTCATATACATGTAGAGGCCTAAGGTGAGTGTCTTCTTTAAACATTCTTGAACTTAGTTTTTGAGACAGGATCTCTCACTATGCCTGGAAAGTGCCTGTTTAATGAGACTGGCTAGACTGCATGGCCAGCAGGCTTTGGAGATCATACTGTTTCTGCCCCGCATCTGTGAGAATATAACTACTGCCATCCTTGACTTTTTACATGGGTACTAGGGACCAAACTCAGGTTCTCTTTCCTCACTTGGTCATGTCCTCAGCTTTTCTTCTGTTCCTTAAAAAATATTTTATCACTAGTTCGTTGAGAATTTTGCAATGTGTATGAATCATATTCACTCCCCCTCCCTCAATTCTTCCCAGATCTACTTCTTCTTCCTTTAACTACCCAACTTTGTGTCCTTAATAAAAAAACAACTCACTTTCAAGGACAATTGTGCAGCCCAAACACCTGTGGTCTTCAAGTGGAGTGTGGTTGGTTGGTTTATCAGGAGCTACGCTGTTAGAGAAAACTGATTTTTCTTCTCCAAGTTTCTAAAAATTGTCAGTCGCCCGTTGGCTAGGGGTGGAGCTTTGTGCCATGCCTGGAGTTGGTCTAGCTTGGGCTTGCACAGGTCTTGTGTATTTTGTCACTGTTACTACAAGGTCTTAACCACAGCTGTCCTGCTGTGTCCGGAAGACACTGTTCCTTTGTAGTTATCTACCACCTTTGGCCCCCTCAATCTTTTAAACACCTCTTCCACATTGATCCCCGAGGCGTTGGAGGACAGGATGCAGTGTGTATGTTCCATTTACAGCTGAACATTCTGTAATCTCCTATGCTCTGCACTTTGCTAGCTGTGGGTGTCTGTGTTAATTACCATGGACTGCAAATGGAAGCTTCTCTGATGAGGGCTGAGAAATGCCTTAATCTACGGGTATAAGATGTCATCAGGAGTTGCTCTAACACTACGTCCACTTAGCAGAATAATAGTAATAGGTTCTCTCCTAGGATTGATGATGTGTCTAGCCATAGGTTTTTGACCCAATAATAATGCCAGCCGGTATAGGCTTCACCTTGTGGAGTGGGCCTTGCTTCTAATTGGAAAGTGACTGGTTACTCCTGTGGCATTTGTGCCACGGTTGCAGCAGTGGACGTCTCATCAGGCCAGTCATTATTGTAGCTCACAGGAGTCACGACTGGGTAAGACTGTTGATGACTTTGTGCCTCCTGAAGTATGCATAGCACCTTCCAGCACTATGGAAGCCAGTAGGGATCCAGCTCGCAGGTCAGTAGAAGCTTGATTTCATCATTTCTATGACTCCAAAATATGGCGTTTTCAGGAAAAGAGACTTACAACTAAATTCTGGAGGGTAGCCAAGATCACTGGCAATAGTCTGTGATGTTTGGAGGTCTTTGGGAGCTCAAGGCCAACAACTCAAAAAAAGTAACCCATTCCTTTGTTGTTGTTGGCCTCTAGTACCCACCAGATGCATTGTTGCCCCATTACAGGATAATTCCATTTTGACTCATTTTATGTATGTTTATAGACATATTTTAGTAAACTTCTACAATATAAGTTCTCATGTTACTTTTTATTTATTCTTTCCAGTTTCCATTTTCCACCTTGCTCTCCCCTCTCCATCACACTTAAAATCTTCCACAATTCCCTTTTAGGCACCTGTATCTCTGTATTCTATTTCTCCTTCCTTTAAAACTATTTTCCATGGGTCTTTAGTAATTTTCTGACCTCTATAGGTATTCCAAATGAAACACACATCTCTAAAGATTTAAAGAAAACATGACAAACATGTCTTCTGGGTCTGGGTTATCTCACTCAGAGTGATTGTTTCTAGCTCCATACATTTAAACCCATTTCACTTTTCTTAATAACCCAGTAATATTCCATTGTGGATAGACCACATTTCTTTTTTCACTTTTATTTCAAAATGGATTTTTTTCTCACATAATATATTCTGATTACAGGTTCCCCTCCCTCTATTCCTCCCAGTTTCTTCCCACACAGTCTTCTGTCTAGATCAACCCCTTTTCTGTTTCTCATTAGAAAGTAAACAGACTTCTAAAAGATAATAATAAAATAAAATGAAACAAAAACTAACACATCAAAATTGGACAAAACAAACAGAAGGAAGAGTCTAAGAGAAAGCACAATAATCAGAGATCCACTAGTTTGCACACTCAGAAATCCCATAAAAACACTAAAGTGGGAGCCATACACACACACACACACACACACACACACACACACACACACACACACATATAGGACTGAGTGTTCCAAGGTCTCTCACTAACTGCATAATGTCTGGCTGTGGGTCTCTGTATTCCCATCTGCTGCAGGAGGAAGCTTTTTTGATGATTGCTGAGGAAGGCACTGATCTAAGAGTACAGCAGAATATCATTAGGAATTGTTTTATTGCCACAGTTTTTGTTTGTTTCTTGAACAGTAGTATTTGGGTGTACTACTAGGACACTGGGCTGTCTAGTCTCAGGTTCTTGATCACCCAAGCAGTGCCATGTATGGGTTCCACCTAATGGAATGGGCCTTACATCAAATCAGATATTGGATGATTATTACTCCTACAGAGCTTTGTGCCACTATTGCCCTTTGGTAGCGCACAGAGTACCTGCCTTGTATCAAAGATGCTAGAACCTAGGGATGAAGGCTCTGTGGAAGCACCAGATCAATCTCTCCATATTCAATGTACTGTATGGGCGTTATCTTCAACAACGGGGCCTTGCCATTGGTTTGTGGAGAGCAACTTATAGTCTTGGCAACAGCCTTGATTGTTTGGGAATTCCTGGGGGACCCCTTTGGTCAACAACTCAATTATATGTAACCCAGTCCTGGCACTGGAAGCTTCATTTGGTGACAAGAAATGTCCAGTCGGGGCTCTGTCTCCCCTGTTAGTTGGCAGTTTCAGTTAGATTGTCTTCATACATGTATATACTTTAGGAAGCTTCTACTGCATTGGTCCTCCACACTACCCCTCAAATGGCCTTTAATATTAGCTGTATCTCCCTATATACCTTCCTTCGTCTTCCCCTCCCCTCCCCTTGATCCTTCCGTTCCAGCCCACCCCATTCATCTGTAACAATCTACTCTATTTCCCTTTCCTAATGAGTTCTGTCACCCTTAGTCCCTTACTCTACACTTAACCTCTGTAGTTCTATGGATTGTATCTTATCACTGATTTAATAGCTAATATCCACTTATAAATGAATACATACCATATTTGTCTTTCTGGGTGTAGGATTCCTCATTTAGGATGATTTTTCTTTCTAGTTCCATTCCTTGTTTGTGAATTTCATTTTTTAAAATAACTGAGTAATACTCTATTGTATAGATGTACCACATTTTCTTTATCCATTCCTCTGTTGAGGGACATCTGGGTTGTTTCCAATTTCTGGTTATTAGGAATAGAACAGCAATGAGCATGGCTGAGTAGTTGTCCTTGTTCTAGGGTGAAGCTTCCTTTGGGTATATGCCCATGAGTGGTGCAGCTGGATCTAAGAGGAGATTAATTCTGATCTTCCTGAGGAACTGCCACACTGATTTCCTTAGTGGCTGTGCAAGTTTGCACTCCCACCAGCAATGGAGGAATGTTTTCCTTGCTCCACATCCTTGTGAGTATGAACTGTCACTTTTATTTATGTCACTTAGACATTCTAACAGGTATAAAATGAAATCTCAGAGTAGTTTTGATTTGTATTTCCCTGATAGCTAAGAATGTTGAACATTTTTGTAAGTGTTTCTCAGCCATCTGAAATTCTTCTTTTGAGAATTCTCTGTTTAGATCTGTACCTGATTTTTAATTGGATTATTTGTTCTTTTGATGTCTGGTTTCTTGAGTTCTTTATATATTTTGGATATTAGCCCTCTGGCAGATACAGAATTGGTGAAGATCTTTTCCCATTCTCTAGGCTGTACTTTGTCAGGATAACTATGCCCTTTGCCTTACAGAAGCTTCTCAGTTTCATGAGGTCCCATTTATTAATTGTCAAGATCCTGTGCTATCAGTGTTCTGTTCAGAAAGTCATTTCCTGTGCCAGTGCATTCAAGGCTGTTGCCCACTTTCTCTTCTATTGTGTTCAGTGTATCTGATTTTATGTTGAAGTATTTGCTCCATTTGGATTTGAGTTTTAAGATGTGTGGATTTATGTCTGGGTCTCTGATTTGATTCCATTGATCAACATGTCTGTTTTTGTGCCAATACCAGGCTGTTTTTATTACTATAGCTCTGTAGTTGAACTTGAGATCAGGGATGATAATACTTGCCACAGTTCTTTTATTATTCAGGATGATTTTAACTATCCTATGTGTTTCCATATGGAGCCCAAAATTGATTTTTTTTCAATTTCTGTAAAAATTGTGTTGGAATTTTGATGGGGATTGCATTGAATCTGTAGATTGTTTTTAGTAGGATGGCCATTTTTACTCTATTAATCCTACTAATTGATGAGGATGGGAAGTCTTTCCATCTTCTGATAGCTTCTTCAATATCTTTATATAAATATGTAATATATATAATATGTAATTATACATACAATTTATTTTATGTTCGCCTGCATATATATTGGTGTGAGGGTGTCAGAAGCCCTGGAACCGGAATTAGAGACAGGTGTGACCTGCCATGTGGGTGGTAGGAATTAAGCCTGGGTCCTCTGGAAGAGCAGCCAGTGATCTTAACTGTTGAGCCATCTTTCCAGCCTCTTTCTTCAGTGTCTTGAAGTTTTTAATCACAGAAGTGATTCACTTGCTTGGTTAGCGTTACCTCAAGATATTTTATACTAGTTGAGACTGTTATGAAAGGTGTTGTTTCCCTGATTTCTTTCTCAGTCTGTTTGTTATTTGTATATAGGAGGGCTGCTGATTTTTGTCAATTTTGTATCCAGCTACTTTTCTGAATCTATTTGTCAGGTGTAGGAGTTTCCTGGTGGAATTTTTAGGGTCACTTATGTTACTATCATATCATCTGCAAGTAAAGATACTTTGACTTCTTCCTTTCCAGTTGGTAGTCCTTTGATTTCCTTCAGTTGTCTTACTGCTTTATCTAAGACTTCAAACAGTATATTGAACAGGTATGGAGAGAGTTGACAACCTTGTCCTGTTACTGATTTTACTGAAATTTCTTTGAGTGTCTCTCCATTTAAATTGATGTTGGAACCTTAGCCATGAGGGAAATGCAAATCACAACTACTTTGAGATTCTATCTTGCATCTGTCCAAATACCTAAGATCAATAATACAAGTGACAGCTCATGTTCACAAGAATGTGGAACAAGTGGAACACTCTTCCATTGATGGTGGGAGTGCAAACTTCTGCAGCCACTATGAAAATCAGCATGGTAGTTCCTCAAGAAAAAATGGGAATCAGTCTATCTCAAGATTCAGCTATACTACTTTTGGACATACACCCAAAGGACACTTCATCCTACCACAGGGACACTTGCCCATCTATGTTCATTGCTGATCTATTCCTAATAGCCAGAAATGGGAAACAACCTAGATGTCCCCCAACAGAGGAATGGATAAAGAAAATGTGGTATATTTACACAATGGAATATCACTCAGCTATTAAAAAAATGAAATTCACAAACAAGGGATGGAACTAGAAAAAAAAACCATCCTGAGTGAAGTAACCCAGACTCACAAAAATAAACATGGTACACATTCCCTTATATGTGGATATTAGCCATTAAATAAATGATTACCAGCTACAGTATGGAGAAAGGCACTAGGAGAGACGCATGGATGTTTGGAAGGCCGTGTTGCTTAAAGTTGCCGTTCACAATGTTCAGACAGCTCTCTGAGCTCAGTGCAAAATGGAAGCCTCCCTTCCCCCTGACAGGGCTTCTTACTCTCTGCCTGATCTTATTTGGAAGCTGTCCCTGAGCTTGAATGCCTGACTCATCTCAAGTGTGCCCTTTGACACGGTTCCCTGCAAATGCTCTCCCCAAGCTGCCCAGATGATAATTAGATGTTGTGCTCCCGTCTGTACGATGGGACCCTGCTGCCAAATGCAAATAAAGCACGCTAGGAGCACCTATTAGCTGGTGCCCCAGCTTCTGTCCCTGTCCTATGCATTCCCCTCACTCCCTGGAATAAAACTGAGCTGTCTCACTGAAGCCGATTCCCTGAGGTTTATTTCCGCTGTATGCACAGTCATACAAGCCCTGCTTGCTGCTTCTGCTCCCTTTGTCCTCGTAGCTAGAGGGGAATAATAGTTGTTAATATTTATGATTTGGACATAACAAAATTCTTTTAGTTGTCATACAAAGTGAATGGTTTCATTTCCATACACTGTCCTCTGTTATTTGGCCTTCCCGCCATCCCATCCCCCGTCCTTCCTACCCACTCAGGCTGGTCCCCTTCCTCCATATTTTGTTCCATTCTTGCTCCTCCCTCCCAGCTCCTTCCCTTTCATAGTTCCACTTCTAATTTCTTGTCCTACATCTCTTTATACTGATAAAGCCAGATATAAATCAACGATAGGACATACTCTCATGTAAATTTAAATTTATATTCTACATGTAAAAGAAAACATAACATCTGTCTAGGATGCCTCTGGGAGAAGGTGGCTGACCAGTGATTTGAAGACACAGGAAGACCAGCATCAGAAGTGCCACTCCAGTGCTCCAAGGTCCAGCCCCTGCACTCAAACCTGTGATTTCGAGAGTTTCTTCAGACAGTATGTTTTCTTATCCTTTGTTTGTGTAACTTACAGACTTCAAACATATTCTCTGTCTTCAAGTCAAAAGAAATCATTGCTCATTTTAGGCAAATGAAGGACAACACCACACCCCAGATCTCCTCTATTCCCTTTGGACCACTTTCCTTGGCAGCTGTAATTTTTAAAAAAGTTACTTTCAAATATTTCACTATGGAAATGTCTGTAGCAAGTTATCCTGTTACATATGACAGATCAGGGAACATGTTCTGAGCATGTGTGAAAACAGAAAATTGGTATGTGTATGACCTTCATTGGATCCACATTGCACTTCTTTAAATTCATTTGAATAGCTCACCCCAATGTTTAAAGCGACATGAAGAAAGCTGCAGAGTTGAAAGGTGTGAAAGACGGGCTTGTTGGTTTCTATATATGCTGAGGTCCAAGGATCTTTTTATGATGCCTACATATTAGTTATTCAAAAATTAATATGAAAGACTTTATAAGGGGAAAAGTGCATGGTCAAAAGACTTCCTGACCTAGCACTTTCTCCTCCCATATGGCACCCTAGCGTCCCAATCTTTGCTAGAATTTATTCCATCAGTTAACGATCCATTATTTTGAAACTGGTAGATTTTTTAAAAGTGTAACCTAAAGAAATACATCATTAAATTATGCACATATATTCAAATATGTTATTATAGTCTTGTTTTAATATAGTTGGAAATTTGAACAATGTAGACAAAGAATTCTATAAATATATTGCATTGCCATATTAGAGCACTATGTAAGCACTAAGATCATTGTTTAGTTCATTTTTATTGATATAAGGATGTGTTTATATTTTATGAGAAAGTTTATAATATAATATCTTTTTTATAATATTATTAGTAAATATTTTGAAACATGAATTCTCAGCTTTGTCTTTTCTTTTCCTCTTTGAAAGGACTCATTTGAGAGAATAGAGATATTTGTTAATTATTTACATTTAGAATTTTTTTTTACATTTAGGTTTTTTTTTTTACATTTATGTTTTTTAGAAAAGTTTTTTACATGTCTAGTGCCCATGGAGGTCAGAAGAGGACATCAGACCTGGCAATATGACATTTAAATCTAAAGCCAGATTTAAAGATGTTTGTAAGCCACCATGTGGGTGTCGGGAATTGGATCCAGCTCTTATGGAAGAGCAGCCAGTGCTCTTAACCTCTGAGCCATCTCTCCAGCCTGTGGTTCTTGCTAATAAACAGTAAAAAGTATTACAAGACAAAATAATAATGTGAATCCAGCCAAGGAGAGCTGGTCAGGAAGTGGGAAAAGAAAACGCCCATACTTACAGAACATGTAGAGAATCTGGGCACAAGGAACCTCCAAATGGAAAACAAGTCTCCACAGGAGATATGGCAGAGCACCGCGGAGTGCTCTGATGCATCCAGATTCACACTGAGGCCAAGGCCCTGCTGGTCAGGCAAATAACCCGATTTCCTACAGAACAGATGTGTATCTACAGGACCCAAAGCCTGTGCTCTGCAAGGCTCACAGACCATTCTATCTGTCTGCGCTCTGCAGGACTCACAGACCACTCTGTCTGTCTGTGCTCAGCGGGACTCACAGACTATTCCCTCTGCTGTGCTTTGCAGGATCTTTTTTTCTGCTTGTATCACAGACACACCAGCTGCTTGTCGATCATAACACCCAGCCTACACCGTAAGTCAACTTGTGGGATAGTGATTGATATTTTTGTAAATCTGATAAAGCCTTTTACCAGTTTTTGAGGAGAATTTAGAGTACTGATTATGTCTTTTTGAAAGATGTAGCTTATCCAGATTTTATAGTTCATAAGCCAATTTGGTTATTAATGCTTTGGTTTTAAATCTTCTTTTTTCATATTGCATTCAAGGCATTCATACAAATTCATTCAAAATAGCTCATTGAGGTGGATGTTGTACCTGTCATATTGTCAACTGTCACCTGCAGTTTGGATGGGTGACACTATGTATGATAGGCAGAGATTAATAGAAAGTCTTTAGGTCATTGAGAGTACACCCTTGAAGAGAACTGTGGCACCCTGGTCTCCTGGTGCCCTGCGTTTGTTCCCTGCTGATGATATGAGCAGTTTGGGACATCGTAAGGTCACACCAAGATGTATTGCCTTGCTTTAGATCCAAAGTAGTGGGAGTGAATTGGCTGTGGTTTGAAACTGTGTGCACGTGTGTGTATGAGTATACACACAGAGACCTATACACACAGGGGTGCACTGTGTGTGTGTGTATGAGTATACACACAGACACCTACACACACAGGGGTGCACTCTGTGTGTGTGTGTGTGTGTGTGTGTGTATTCACACAGACACCTATACAC